TGCTGCCCCTGCGACCCGGCCCCGGATAAGCGGAAGAAGATGGCTGGATGGAGATAAATTTTCACCAACTACAGAATGCCCAAGAAAGTAAAACTGTTTCTGAAAAGATAAAGCAAGAAATGTTATTTAAAGAAAAAAAGATCAAAACAAGATCAAAGACAGCAGCCGTATGAAGGGGATGATCTGATTGTTATGGTTTTCTCTCTAAGTCCACAGGATGTTTACTGAATTGGTTATTTGGAACTACATAAATATATCTGAATTAACTTGAACAGTATGTTACAGAACAGTGTGAGTGCACTGAAGGCCCACCAGGAGCCACACTGATTCTGAGGAGGAGCTGGTGCTCTGGTGTCCATGAGCTGATGTTGGATGGCATGTGATCAGTTGGTTAGCTGAGCTGTATGCTAGATTAAGGCTACCAGACTTCACACACTACCTAAAAATTCTTGCTTGCTTACACTTCATTACTGTGTTCCTATACGTTTACATTTGCCAGTCAAATCATCTTTCACTTTTGCATCTTTATTTTTTAGTGCTTTTGATGAATGATTCAGACTCACAACCTTTCAAAAGGCACAAAATACTAAAAATAAAAACAGTAAAACTGTAAATGGAAACATTAAGCAAGGAATGTTACTTTAAAAAAAAATAAGTTCAAACACAGAGGAAACCACAAAGGAGACATTTCTCTACAAAATGAAGTTTCCACTTCTGAAACTTCTTGCCCACAGCTGTTATTTTTCACCTTAGGTTTGCGAGCCAAATGTCAAAGAAGCAGCCAGTATGTAAGGGCGCATCTCATTCCACATTTCAGACTTTTCTAGTTCGTTTTGAATTATTTAGTCAAGCTTAAAGTAATTTATGTCAGCTGAAGCTCAGCTAATGTGTCCAAAGAACCATGAATAAAATTAAGCAAGAATCAGTATAACATTAAAAGCCCCTTTCACATATTTTGAGAAGATCATAATTGATTGTTAAACAATGAGGTGAAGCAAACAGAAGCTACTTTTCTGTAATCTTTAGAAAAAATACAAATACATGATTTGGGATCAAGTATTCTTTCTGTCAGGTACATAACTTAATCCAGATAAGTTGTTGTTTGTTTGTTTGTTTGTTTGTTTGTTTGTTTGTTTGTTTGTTTGTTTGTTTGTTTGTTTGTTTGTTTGTTTGTTTGTTTGTTT